CCATTTACCTCATTCCCGACCGATTTTAGCCCCCCTGCTGTGTTTAAACTCCTTACGTTCCACGTACCAATATTTAAATCCCTATATTTCAACTTGCGCCATGAATCCCCTAAAGCAGTCCCCACCCGGAGACCCGAACGGGGGACTAGTTTACTTCCGGATAATGAGCGTTTTACCTTAGGGAGATCCATGACTTTTTGTGGTGTTTGGTGAACTAAAGATATGTGAGTAGGGCGTTCAATCCTACGTCACACCCTCCAGCAAGTCTGGTGGGCCCCTACCTCCAGCAAGTCTGGAGGTCCCCTCCCTCCAGCAAGTCTGGAGGGCCCCTCTCATTGTTGGTCAGCGAGTCCATCGGACTTAGCCGGGAGGAACTTCCAAGGAATTTCCACCGACCATCCCCACATCCGCCACCCGTGGGACGCTCCCCATACGCGGTAATGAGCCCGCGCGAGGGTTTTTTTTTTGTTGGTTATTTTACAATTTAAAAATATTTTTATGAGAAATTTAATAATATATTTTGCATAATAAAATTGCACATAAGAAACGTAAACTTTTTTTATATTCACTCAGAGATCACGAAAGTGTATTATCAGCTCAAAGATCCACCGCGAGTATAATTGATAGAAATGATCGTACGAAGGTTAAGATACAAGCCTGGTGAAATCATCCATGTACAACGGCATAACTTTAAATAAATTATTTCTTTGCATTGACATATCTGTGTTTGGCCCGCTGTTCGCAGTATTCGTTATTTCTTTAAAATGTCTAACCACCAAGTTTTAATCGAATTACTAAATTGTAAGTACTGAACTTTCTGATACACTCATTAAATACACACCTTTTTCTTTGAAATTTAACCGGAACCATGTTGACATATTACAATCAAATGTGTGTAAATGACATCAAAGAGTTAAGACTAAATTCTATTTCAAAACCGGATTCCTTGGCGGAACTAAACGACGGTAAAGTGGATTAATGCTCTCAGAATATGAGCTTCACAAGTTCCCTATAGTACCTATATCCCTAACTGGATACTTTTGGCTATAATTCTATAAATCCGGTATTTTTATTCTGATTTGCTTGTTTTTTTTTTTCGTTTTGTAGCAAAACTATTATGTGTGAAATATAGAAGGAAAAGACTGAAGAGGAATGCAAAACATTTTGTGATTTATAATTGACACTGGAGTATCGTTCAGTTCACTCACTATCATGTATTTGTTTGTTCTTCATTTAGTTGTAGGTTGATTTGCTCTACTTTTCTTATCACCATGTCCTCCTGATAGTGATATAGGTAATATATATTTATAATTGATTCGGTAAATAACCTTATACAATAAGTTTTCATTTTACAACATATCACATGAAAAATATATATATTTTTTTAAACTTTTATTATGATATTTACAACTGTATTACTATGAATACATAAAGTAAATGTGTACAGAGGAATCAAATAACATGAAGCACGCTTCTTGAGAAACTACCCATTGGTAGCACTCTAATAATTTGTCTACATGAAGAGGTCACGAGGCCATCTTCTTTTCAGACGCCTCGGAGGGTTATCAGGGATTGAATAGGAAGCAAGGTTAGAAACAAGAGGAATCGGATGGTTCTGCAGTTTGTTATGGAAGGATAGGTATCTGGATTTGGCCAAATCGGAAACATATGGAATATTAAGGTCGTTATGGACGATTTTATTTGTGACAAAGTAAGGAGCGTTGAGGATTTTAAGAAGGATTTTGGATTGTAAGGATTGGATACGAGAGGAATTCGATGGTTTAGTGAAGCCCCAAAGCTCAATTCCGTAAGTCCAAATAGGTGTTATTATTGTCATATATACGAGTCGTTTGTAATTGATTGAAAGCTTAGATCGTTTGTCTAGTAAGTACTACAGTAGTCGAAAACGTCGGGCGGTTTCTAGTCGTTTCAGTCTGGTATGGGATATTTCACAATAAAAACCTGAAAGGATTTATTTGCCAACCCAACATATTTTTATTTATTGGTAAAAAAATGACAAGAATAACAATTGTTGGTTTTACCTAAATGGAATTATTGCATATTGATTTAGAATGGCTAACATGCTCTGATAAATTACGATTTTCAATTACCTTGCCTAAAATAAAAAGTTCTCGGGGTTTTTGCCGTTTTCATGACTTCTCCAATCACTGAGCGGAATCCTAAGAATAGTTTGATTATGTGATCCTGACCGTTACTGGAGTGATAATAAGCAACCATTACACGGTCATTCGTGAATGAACGTCACAAGAATGAAAAAGATTGCTCGGGATCGCTTTGATCATAAAGACCCCAACACGTTCAATCATTACTGATCATTGCTGAAGCCAATTTAGCTCAGTTGTAAACAAAGAAACAGCATAGATGAGCTTTTTGGATATTGCACTTTATAGTATTGAACATCAAAAGAAAAATGGAGATATAATAATTACATTCTGGTGCCTGAAAATCGTTCGAAAAATATAGGAAAAGTATCGCAAAAATAATCAATTTGTTAAGAAAAAATGGAAAAATTAATAAACAAAACAGTTTTTTTTTTATATCAGTAAATTGTGAAGTTTCCACATTTTTTTTTTAATTTATTATACTTGACTATATAAAGAAAAAATAGTTGAAAATCGTTTATGAAAATATAAACAACTATTAACTTTTATGAAATTATTTACTTAATAACGAGACCTAGGTAAACTAACCTATCTAGTAGTAAGGTTAGTCTCATAGACGTTTTGACAAAAGTTAGTAAAATATAAGTCTACTACTACTGATCCATCACTCCCAATACCATATCTATGCCGATGATTTCCAAATATACCTGTCCTTCCCGCCTTCCGACCTATTATCTGCCACAGAGAAACTACAAGAAGACTTGGATAGGATTTGTGGGCCAGAGCTAACAAATTGAAGTTGAATACAGGAAAGACCAAGGCGATCTTAATAGGCTCCAATCACCTCTTTGAAACTGTTCCTACATGATAATCCCATCAAATTCTATCCTTCCATCAAAAACCTTGGAATGATCATTGATCAAACGCTTTCCTGGAAAAATCATATATCCAACATCTCCCACCGTACCGTTTCCACCTTAAAACGTCTGAATTACTCCCATCACCTATTTCTCCTTGAAACCCGTAGGCTCCTAGTAACTTCCTTAATTTTCCCCACTTCGACTATAGTTGCACGGTATATTGGGGTGTCTCTGGGGATCTCGAGGCGAAATTAAAACGTTTGATAAATTGCTTTGTACGATCATCTTTTTACCGTTTACCGTTTTTATGCAGAGTTGAAGTGGCTTTATCCTTCCTATCGTCGTGTAAATATTTCTTGGCATCCTTCCTCTTTCAAGTCATCCAATCCCACCGCCCTTCATACATCTCCGAGCTCCTTCAATTCAAATCTTCTGTCCGCTCCCGCAATACTCGTTCCCGGTCTTCTGATTTATACATAAGGGCCCAACGAACCGCTGCTTTTGACGGATTATCCGATTCTCATCCATATGGAACTCCATCCATCCCCACATCCGTCGATCCAAAACCCTTCCTTCCTTTAAATCCCGCCTTTTTAATCATTTCTTATCCATCCAGTCCTCATGAAATTGTAAATAGTTACTACTGTAAATATGTATATAAATTATTATTTACCCCCATACCAGACTGAAACGACTAGAAACCGCCCGACGTTTTCGACTACTGCAGCACTTACTAGACAAACGATCTAAGCTTTCAATCAATTATAAACGACTCGTATATATGACAATAATAAGACCTATTTGGACTTACGGAATTGAGCTTTGGGGCTCCACTAAACCATCGAATTCCTCTCGTATCCAATCCTTACAATCCAAAATCCTTCGTAAAATCCTCAACGCTCCTTACTTTGTCACAAATAAAATCATCCATAAAGACCTTAATGTTCCATATGTTTCCGATCTGGCCCAATCCAGATACCTTTATTTCCATAACAAACTGCAGAATCATCCGAATCCTCTCGTTTCAAACCTTGCTTCATCCTCGATCCCTGATAATCCTCCGAGGCGTCTGAAAAGAAGATGGCCTCGGGATCTTCTAATATAGAACTTTAATTTGAGTTCTACCAATGGGTAGTTTCTCTTCATGTTGTACATGCCATGTTACAAATTTCTCATTTACTTATTGTATTCTCTATGTAATACAGTTGTAAATTCCATTGAAATAAAAAAAAAAAAAAAAAAAAAAAAAAAAAAAAAAATTATAATTTATTTTCATTTTTTTTATTATTAACTGATTTAAATTAGAAAGTAGCTTATAATTTCTTTTATTATTATTATTTTTTTCTATTTAGCTAAACTATATTCTTATTTGTGTATCTCTGAGGCTCCTTAGCCCACATTTTTGTCTTTCTGTATTATTCTAAAGGGACTCGTTTTAGAATAAATAAAGCATTGTTATTATTAATACTTACAAAAATTAAGGAAATGTATTGCGAAAATAATAAATTTGTTGATGAAAATGGGAAAAGAACTGACATATATATGTTGGCCAGTTAACTATTTAATTGAAATAGTTAAAGATAGTTCATAAAATATAAACTAGGGATATGAAAAACTTTTTAACTATTTATTTTTAATGAAAATCAGGAATTTATAATGTGAGGTTTAGGTAAACTAACCTATATAGTAGTATGGTTAGTCTCTCCACTATTTTTACCTCAATCCCCCATTCACTTCTCGTGAATGAACCTTAGATTTCCGGATGTTCGAAAATCCGCCAGATATCTCCATCAGTACTTCATTCATTACTTCACTGGATCAATCGGAATGTCATTAGTGCCTCGGAATGCAATTCCGAATGACCGTATAACTTCCCATATACTCTCTATTCAAACGTACCATTCCAGATAAGCCCGACCAGGAACCACATCAGAGGAACCGAAGCGACAGATAGCCCGGGGCAGTGGCGGTGGGGGTACGCAGCGTACGCATCGCCAGCCCCAGTCGAGCTCGGGCCGTCGCTAGCTGAGGTGCTCTCTGTGTCCTGTGAGGTCCAGTGTTGGGTTCGGTGCGCGCTACGAGGTACGGGGTACGGGGTACGGGGTACGAGGTACCGCTCTCCCAAATGTCTAGTCAGGACATGGATTCGAGTCCCGTCGAGGAGTTGAGGCCGGCTATCTCCCATGACAGGCTAGGTGGCAGTGACGGTGCTGTCAACCAATTATCTCGTAAGTTGTTCATGTATACTTTATTTACCACTACAGAGTCACTTTTTTAATATTATATATTTCTTACAAGTATTCGACAGTACGTTTGAATATTCTCAAATATCTATATGTATGTAGTGAAAAATTAGTAACATTATAATGTAGTTTTATATATATATATATATATAACGTTCACAAACCTCCGTTTCGAAATTGATGCTTAAAAATTTTATTTATTTTTTTCGAATTTTATATAATTTTAAGATAAGAAATTAGGATTAAAGGGCATTATTTTGTTAGGAAATAAAAAAAAAAAAAAAAAAAAAAAAAAAATGGAATGGAAAATTACTTCAATTATAATGTATTTTTATTTATAAAATATTGTCAAATTTAAGCTTGGGATGGTTCCTTTCTACGAAAAAATAAACTGATTAAAAATTTTTTTTATTTTAATTAATTATTTTGACTGAATATTTCTACATGGATTTTAAGATATTAAATGTAATCTACCTTAATTAAATGTAATTTAATTATTAAATGTAATTATTATTAAATGTAATTTACCTCTCCAAAGTCACTTTTTTAATATTTTATATTTTTTCCAAGTATTCGAAAGTAAGTTTGAATATTCTCAAATATCTATATATATGTAGTGAAAAATTAGTAACATTATAATGTAGTTTTATTTATATATATAACGTTCACAAACCTCCTTTTGGAAATTCATGCTTAAAAATTTTATTTATTTTTTTCGAATTTTATATAATTTTAAGAGAAGGAATTAGCATTAAACAGCATTATTTTGTATGGAAATAAAAAAAAAAGGTATATAAATAATTTTTTTATACCATAATTTAATTAAATACAGATATAAGAAGTTAAATACAATATATATATATATATAATTTTTTTTTTTTTATTTATAAAATATTGACAAATTTAAGCTTGGGATGGTTCCTTTCTACGTAAAAATAAACTGATTAAACATTTTTTTTATTTTAATTAATTATTTTGACTGAATATTTCTACATGGATTTTAAGTGCTGTCAACCAATTATCTCGTAAGTTGTTCATGTATAAATAATTTACCACTCCAAAGTCACTTTTTTAATATATATTTCTTCCAAGTATTCGACAGTACGTTTGAATATATATCTATATATATGTAGTGAAAAATTGCTAACATTATAATGAAGTTTTATTTATATAAATAACGTTCACAAACCTCTGTTTCGAAATTCATGGATAAAAAATTTATTTATTTTTTTAAAATTTTATATAATTTTTAGACAAGGAATTAGGATTAAGGTGCATTATTATTTATGAAAAAATAATATAGTATATAAATAATTTTTATGTCATAATTCAATTAAATACAGATATAAGAAGTTAAATACAAAAAAAATATATAAATTTTTATTTATAAAATATTGACAAATTTATACTTTGGATGGTTCCTTTCTACGAAAAAATAAACATTGGTTAAAAAAAAATTGTATTTTATTTAATTATTTTGACTGAATGTTTTTATATGGATTTTCAGTGCTGTCAACCAATTATCTCGTAAGTTGTTCATGTATAAATAATTTACCACTCCAAAGTCACTTTTTTAATATTATATATTTTTTCCAAGTATTCGAAAGTAAGTTTGAATATTTTCAAATATCTATATATATGTAGTCAAAAATTAATAACATTATAATGTAGTTTTATTTATATATATATAACGTTCACAAACCTCCGTTTCGAAATTCATGCTTAAAAATTTTATTTCTTTTTTTCGAATTTTATATAATTTTAAGATAAGGAATTAGGATTAAAGGGCATTATTTTGTATGAAAAAAAAAAATGGAATTGAAAATTACTTCAATTATAATGTATTTTTATTTATAAAATATTGTCAAATTTAAGCTTGGGATGGTTCCTCTCTACGAAAAAATAAACTGATTAAAAAAAAATTTGTATTTTAATTAATTATTTTGACTGAATATTTTTACATGAATTTTAAGTGCTGCCAACCAATTATCTCGTAAGTTGTTCATGTATAAATAATTTACCACTCCAAAGTCACTTTTTTAATATTATATATTTCTTCCAAGTATTCGAAAGTACGTTTGAATATATATCTATATATATATGTAGTCAAAAATTATTAACATTATAATCAAGTTTTGTATATATATATATATATATATATTATATATATATATATATATATATATATATATATATATATATTTATATGATATAAAAAAATATTTATATACCATTTTAAAAAACAACAACAAAATAATGCCCTTTAATCCTAATTCCTACTATTAAAATTATATAAAATTCCAAAAAATAAAAATTGTAATCATGAATTTCGAAACGGAGGGATATATATATATATATCCGTTTCGAAATTCATGATTAATTTTTTTTTTGGAATTTTATATAATTTTAATAGTAGGAATTAGGATTAAAGGGCATTATTTTGTTGTTGTTTTTTAAAATGGTATATAAATATTTTTTTTATATCATAATTCAATTTAATGCAGATATGAGAAGTGAAGTACAATATAATGTATTTTTATTTATAAAATATTGACAAATTTATACTTGGGATGGTTCCTTTCTATAAAAAAATAAACATTGGTTTAAAAAAAAAATTGTATTTTTTAAAAATTATTTTGGCTGAATATTTTTATATTGCTTACAGTGATATATTGATATCACTATTTATTCATTGTGATTATTGTAGTTAAATTATTTTATTAGAATAGAATTTTGACGATTAAGGAGTTGTTCATGTATACTTTATTTACTTACCACTACAGAGTCACTGTTTTAATACTATATATTTGTTACAAGTATTCGACAGTTCGTTTGAAAATATATCTATATATATATATATATATATATATATATATATATATATATAGTGAAAAATACATTATATGTAGTACATACATTATAATGTAGTGTTATATATATAACGTTCACAAACCTCCGTTTCTCATAATTTTTTTGTCATGAAATGAAAAATTACTTCAATTATAGTGTATTTTTATTCATAAAATATTGACAAATTTATGCTTGGGATGGTTCCTTTCTACGAAAAAATAAACATTGATTAAAAAAAAGAATTGTATTTTATTTAATTATTTTGACAGAATATTTTGGTTTATTTTTATATGGATTTTAAGATATTAAAGGTAATCTATTTGTTTACAGTGATATATTGATAATACTATTTGTTTATTATGATAATCGTACTTAAATTATTTTCTTGGAATATAATTCTGACGATGAAGGAGATCTATATATATATTTTGTCTTTTTAGATGTTTTTTCGTTTTAATTATTTTAAATTTAAAAATGAAAAAAATTACTGAATATTTTTTTATAAATCACCCTTCTTTATAATTGACTAAGCTCATGTATGATGTTCATTTACATTTTTTATTTTTAAGTTCACTTACAAGGGAATGTTACAGACGGAGGATCGCCGGTTTCAATTTATCTTTTTTGATAATACTAGGTCGAAAAATATTACATCCATGTCTCAGTTCTTGAAAATGCGGCCTAGAATCCAAGGGAAAAATAAATAAAATTTTAATTACTTTTTATATTACTGTGTTCTTACTTAACTCTGCATGGTTTTCGATGTTATTAGGTTTATATGAATCAATTTTTTTTTTTTGTCATCAGATATTATATAGCTAATTGTATTAAATTATAATGTATAATAAATTATAAAAATAGAAAGACGCTTCGTCTAAAGTAGACGTAAATAAGAGATTTTTTTTTTTAACGTCGTTTCCTAAAATAAATTTTCTTCTAAATCAACACGTTATTGCAACCGTTGGAAAGCTAAATTACCAATATTCAATAACTTTATATTTATTTTTATTTATGATGAAGTTCAGATTTAATTACTAGAATAATCTAGTATATTAATCCCTGTGGAAATAATATAAGTTTGGTGAAATGTACAGTCCATATTATTATTATTTATTTATTTATTTTTTTATCTTCAAGTCTACCTCTTTTGGGAGCGTCTGATTTGTGCCATTTCGTGAATATTATAGGTTCCTAAAATCATGATAATTTTCTTGTGGATAAGTGGATTTATGTTTGAATTATCAAAATGTTGGTGCTTTTTTAGAAAAAAAAAATAGAAATTTTGAGCAAAATATTTTTATTTTTAGATTGTTATGAAAATTTGTATTTAAGGGTTTCTGGAAGTGCGAAATATAAATATAAATTTTATAATTATTAAATTAATGAAATATTAAACCTTTCAACAAAATATAGGAAAAAGTTTTATGAATGAAGAGTGTCATTGAAAGAAGAAAGTGTTATAAATAGAAATGTTATCGATCGTACTACTAACAGTCGTACCCAACCGTTATTGACAGAATCGCATCTTTCTATTCATCAATGCTTTCATTGATGTTTACACTGTCCAGCCTACAGCTGATATACAAGCAAATACCCGATGATAAGAAATAGATTATTGACGAAACATCAATATTAGGGAACAATATTGATGTTGAACACATAACCGAAGAAGAAAAATAAATTTTGTTCTGGTACTAAGTCCCCTTAGAACAACTAAAATCTACAACTTAATGACAGTTGTCTGGCATTAGAATTTTTTTTTTTTTTAGATCACTTGTTTACTGATAAATATTACAATCTGTCTCAATAAATGATACTTATAATATAGTTCAGAGAGCACATTCACACCATATTTACTAATTCAAAAAATATATAAGCTAATAAAAATAATTAGGAGTAAATTAAATTACAGGGTTATCTAGATCTAAAATTAAAATAAAGAAAATGCACTGGTAGATATATGAAATTATAGATAAATTCTGCGAGTTTACATATTTGTTAACATAAATATTTATTGAGGTATTCCCGTGTTTCGCACCACTATGATGAATTAGGATGGCTCTTCGCTTCCTTCCGAAGACAATATTTTCTAGGCACATTCCTTTACCAAATAATCAATAGTCATCGTCCGTCCT